AGTTAATGGCCTTTTATGCTTCCTCCACATGAGCAGAGTTCAGTTTTTGAGTAAAGTAAGAATTATATGTCCCTCTGTATGTGTGTGTGTGTGTGTGTGTGTGTGTGTGTGTGTGTGTGTGTGTGTGTGTGTGTGTGTGTTGGGAACCACTTCTCTAGGCAAAATCTCAGTCACTGGAGTGTAGGCCATTTCTAACCCCTGGTGGCCTTTTTTAGATTCCTCTTGCTGTGTAAACAGTCACTCTCTTTGTACATTTGTTCAGCAACCCTTAGAGAGACTGAATGAATGAGAATTACCACAGTCCTCAGCCACCCTGTGATCAAAATTTGGGCATTTGGCAGCCCACCTGCACAGGACTACCATATGCGCTTAAAATCCCCCCAGCCACATCTGCCTATCCTTTTGGCCACCCTGCTGCCCCCTCAAGGCCTTTGCAATGGTTGCCCCCCTCCCTGCACTTGCTATTGCCATCTGTCACAGCTAACCTTTCACCCACTGCTAATGAGGCATGCTTGGGTGAAAATAATGACAACCTGGGGCAAGTCCAGAAAAGAAACACCAGGATAGTGAAAAGATGAAAACCAGGTGCTATGTGGAATGGCACAAAGATCTAGGACTGTTTAGCTTTAGAGAAGGATGCTTGACTGGCTGTCTCATAGTGGAGGGTTCGGACCTCTTCTCACCTGCTCCAGAGAGTAAGGGTAGAACTATTGGATGAAACCTCAAGAGTGGAGATACAGGCTGGACATGATCTTTACAGAAAGATAGAGAGAAAAGTGAGAGTACAAACAATTCAGTGGTAGTGAGGCTAGAGGAGAGTCAGCTAAGCATACAGAAGGAATCCACATTCAAACCACCCCTTTACTTTTGCAGACATGGCTGAATTTTTTTAGACAGGTTTTGGTGCCAGCTGATGAAATCTGCAGTCTGGAAAGCCTGTCTTCTAGGTCCCGAGGCCTGGTTGGCCAGGGAAGGCAAATGATGTCACATACAAGACAATGTCACAATGCAAATGTCATGACTTGCTTCAGATGTCAGCACATGATGACAGCATTTGTGTGATTATGTCATTGCATTCTGGATAAGCAAAAAAAAAAAAAGGAATTCCTAATTAGGGCTCGTGCCTTTGCATTCTGAACAAGTGGTCTTCAAAGCCGGTCCCACATACAGCACCTTATAATAATCCATTTAAGAGGTGACTAGGGCATGAGTGACTGAAGGCTTCCTAACCCAGGAACAGATGTATCCAGGGCACTAGATGAAGCTGTTCCAAGTCATTCTTAACTAAACCTGCCGCCTGCTCTTTGAGAAGCACTTGTGAATCCAAAAAGACCCCAGTATGTACAGTCTCTAGTGGGAGAGAGGACATGGAAAGTCTCCAGGATCAGGAGCCCTACAGTCACATAGTCTTGGCAGGATTGAGTTCTCCCCAGGCAGACTTGCACAGCTTCCCAGCACTGGTACAGCATTGCGACATCACTTGAACAGTAACAGGGTTGAGAAGTCTGATGGATTATCAGCATCCTCCTGATACTGAACCAATGACCTTACCCAAACTGATCAATGACCTCACCCAGCAATTTTGTGTAGGCTTTGAAAAGGCCAAGCGAAAGTGTTGAGCTGTGAGATACCATAGGTTTGACTTTCCCCCTCTCAACCAACTGAACTAATCACAGAAAAAGGAGAAAAGTTGGGGATCACTATTCTAGAGGAATTGTCCAATCGCATTCTCACTAACCTTTTCTAAAATGGGAAGGTTGGATTATACTTGTTTTATCCTGTCAACTTTTGAGGTAGTCCAGGTCAGGAAACAGACGCCACAAGAAAGTAAAACTCAAGATTTCCTATTACCACCTATCCTGTCTAATAATCAAAACCAAAGATCACAAATTCATTTTTTCATGTTTACACAAGTTCATCACCAATTAATGTGGCTAATGACTTTATTTAAAAAAGAGCAATATTATGCAGTCTTAGAGAGGTTGAAATGTATTTATATTTATTGCTGCTATGAAAAATATCAGAAGCCACTTCTTTGTATATTTTTTCTTTCTTTTCTATTTTTCCTTTTTGTTGCACTTTTAGACCTTTTTTGTTCCTTGTTTTATATTAGTTCATGTTAGTTTTTATCTTGCTTAAAAATGTTCACAAAAGTTACATTGAAGAAATATAAAACTGTATATGCTGCGCCCAATAGAGCCGCCTTCTCGCACTTCTTGCCTGGCCAGACTGAGCTCCGCCCCTCCCCCCCCCCCCCCCCCC